CATGTCCAGGCTCTTACAAGTAAAAGAAAGGGCAGAGCTGGGATTCAGACGAACGCTGCTCTGACCCCAGCCTGTTTTCTTCACACACACACACTTTCTAGGGAAATTGGATTGGTTGGGGTGAATTGTGCAGAGCATGAATGCTAGGTCAAGTACACCTTTCTGGAGCAATTATACAAGTAACTAAAACAGACGGACTGTGACAAGAACTGGGCATTTTGGGAGAAGTTAAATAAATGGATGGTGAAGGGCAGTAAAACAAAGAAAAAACTGCTAAAGTAACCCATGTGTGAAGTAATGAGAATCAGAACTAGAATGGGAAAGAAAAGAAATGAAAATTATTGCAACTTGGTGACTTCAGTCTGGGGAACGGAGCAGAGGGAAGTAAGTTTAATTGACATGTATTTGCAGTTAGAATGGATTGTGCGTTGCATTCATTCATGGCTGTTATTTTGTTAGAATTTTAATAATTGGTAGTGAATTTTCTTTGTAGCCTTAAAATATTTTATCTTGAATTTTTTTATGCTAATGAGAATTTCTTAGGTAAAAAGACTTAAAGGAACACATTTTCTCAAGAGCTTGGTTAAGCTAATTAAAGCTGCCTAGTAGCTTCAGGTGGAATAATGAATGAATGAAATTTTAAATTATCTTTAAATGAAAAGGATAAGAATTGATGTGAGCTCACAAAATTAGAGGTTTGATAGGGACAGGATGGAGTTTGAGCCATTATCTTTGTTTTTTAGATAAAAAGACCTAGCTGCCTGCTAGATATGTGACCTTGGGCAAGTTATTAAGTCTCTGAATATCCGTTCCCTCATTTTTAATGTGGGGATATCAGTAGCACCAATATCATAGGGTTCTGGAACGAGTTTAATGAGATAATGTAAATAAAACAATAAAAACAGTTCTTGGCCCATAATAAGCTCTGAATAACTCTGAAGTGCTGTCCAAGAGTGGAGAGGGTGGTGGGCTGTGGTTTTGATTATGAATGTTATTACGGGTCAGAAATCACATTTTATGAATTCTCTGCAGTTCCTAGACTTTTTTTATTATACCGTGCTAATCATTTCTTTCTGTTTATGTCTGGTAATCTCCTCCTTTACCTCCTTGGATTTGTAGCTTTGTAATCTCACTGAGTAACAGTTAAGGACTTTTTCTGCCTTCCCTCCCCTCCCTTCCCCTTCCTGAATGCCCCGAATGCCGGCTAGTCCCGGCCTGACTAGCGGGCCCTGCTGATGTTTGGCCTCCTGAATAGGCACAGCGGCCAGGAGGGGGCCCAGGAGGGCCAGGACGTGCACTTCCTCCATCGCTGCCTGCTGCAGCAGGACACGCCCACCCACACTAAGGTGCCCTTCTGTGGTTTGGGCTTTTTCTGAATCTTCATGGGAAGTACAGTTTGTGGCCTAAAGATGAATGAGTAAGGTTGGTTCCTTTTTTTTTTCCTTTCGAAGTAACCTGTGAAATCCTTTGTGCTTTTTATCTGCCAGGATACTGTTTTTTTTATAAGAAAGCTCTTGACTTTGAAAATCATTGTTAGTTTGCTACATGTTTTTGAATTTTAACCTTACTGTTCAAAAGCAGGTGTTGTGATATAGAACGGCTTGGGGGTCTTATTGTACTTTTACTCTGTGACTATTTGCTTGAGTTTTATAGAAATAAAGTATTTACCTTTTTTGGGTGCATGTGATTGCCAGCCATGTACTAAAAGGTTTCTCAGTACCAGTGGGGAAAGTGCCTTTAATTCTTCTCTGATACCATGTTAATGTCATTAACAGGCAGCATAGAACAGTTGGTGGTTTGGAACAGTGTTTCCCAGCCTTTTGTCCTTTATTGCCTCCTAAGGAGCCTTTTAAAAGAGTTTTTTCCTAATTGGACTCTCACCTCTGTAAAATTTTAATTTCGCAGATATACTGTGTATTTATTGATGACTTATATGTGTGTTTGTGTTTTGTACATGAAGAGTAAGGCTTTTTTGGTGTGCTCCCCTCCCCCAAAGAATCACTGTTTGGTCCCTTGAGGTGATGGTACTGCCGGCTGTGAAAATGCGAAAATGCGTAGTTTACAGTAGTGGGTTCTCAAAAGTTGTAGTTTCAGGACCTTTATATGCTCTAAAATTATTAGTACCCTGAAAAGCTTGTTTATGTGGGGTATACCAAGCGATATTTATATTACAAGTTAAAGCTGAGAAAAATGACAAAATATTTAATAACTTAGTTAAAAATATTTTATGAAAAATAATCATTCCTCCCACACCAAAAAGGTTTAGTGAGAAAAGTGGCATTGTTTTGCCAATCTCCTAAAGGTCTGCCTTAATAGCAAACAGCAAGATTCTTGTAATTGGGTCTATATTCAATCTGTTATAATGTTATAAAGAAGCATCACTGTTATACTGTATGTGGCTGGAAAAAGGAGGAGTATTTCAAAAATCTTTTCAATTTATAGAGATTACTCTTTGATATTACACCAAAACTTGACAAATTGTAGTTTCTTAAAGGGATAGTTGAATGTAGAGTCTCAAACTGTATACAAGCTTTTTGTCCTGTTACTTTAAAATTCATTGGTCTGTCTTTCACTTTGAATGGATCTTACACTCATGAATAATTTTGTATTGTTGTACATCGGTCACTTGGAAAATATTGGTTTCCTGACTTACACAGATCTTCCAAACATTGATATAGTACCAGCTACTCACATGCCATTAATATCACCACTGATCTTAGCAGAAACTCTCTAAAAAGTGGAGAAACCTGTTAAGCTTCTTTTCACTTAAATGTTATCCTTGGTCATAAATACTATTAGTTATTTTTCTCCAAGTGACAGGCTCATTTTGTTCATTTTTGAGAAAGTGTCTGCCATATACTCAAGTCTGAATAACCAGAGATTGTCAGTTTTCTTCAAAATAAAAAATATGTTCCGTGAAAAAGATGACTTGGTCAGCTTGCAGCTCACACAGCTGTACATGCTGTTTCTTCAGTCGTCCCTCTGTACAAAGTAGAAATGCTTTATGCATACTTCCCAGTTTGTCACACAAAATACTAACAAGACGTGTGTGCTCAGAGTCAAGATTTAATAAGATTACCTTTACTGTGAGCATGGTGAGAAGGAATTCCACCAGTATTATCCTTGGGTGCCATTGTCTGTGTGGGGTTGGCTCCTTGATGAGGCTCTGAGTGTCTTACCCCATTACTTTTGCACATGTCAACATGGCAAAAAGGACGCATAATTACTCAGCATCTGTACAGAGACAGTTTTCACCTCCCTGGGGTCCATGGCGCACACTTGGAGAACCACCGGTTTAGACCATGGGCCTTGAAGCCAGACTGCCTGCGTTGAATCCCGTTAGCTATGTACATGACCTTGAGCAATTACCCTGATACCGAAACCGACAAACACTATCCCTCAGGAGCGTAGGCCTCCGAATCGACAAAATGTCATTAGCTTTTCTTTGTTATCATTGTTACTTTTTCATTTGATATGACGAGTATTTACAGAACTGCAGGGGAGTTGGGACCTAAAGTAGTTCACATGTATGTATGTATGTATGTATGTATGTATGTATGTATGAATATATAGCAGAGCAGCAAAGACTGGATCTGGAAATGACTTGCTGTCATGCAGTAAGATATTTGTCAGAATCCCAAATTGTATTCCTACACCAAAGATCTAAATATTCTCAACAATTTTAGGACATTTCTTTTAAAGGCAAATGATGAGCTTGCTGCTTTGTTTTGTAATCCAGTCAAGTGCATTATTGCTCTTGGTTCTGAAATCTGCATTAGACACCCCCCACCTCGCAGCAGTCTTTTCTGATAGTTTAGGTGTGGAAGAAAATCTGTTATTGGTAATATGAATGTTTCCCTTCATTGTTTGTCAACCCAAGGACAATTTCAGAGGCAAAACACCCTCCTGTTAGCCTCATCCTTCAAGATCCGTGAACACGGACCCGTCTTAAATGCACATACACCTTTGTTTCATTTGGGGGTTTAATAAGGGCCTGTTACTACCTTCTGTCATGTTCTCATGCCAGAGAGCCACTCACTTTGTGGGAAGAACGACACATGGGGCTCTCCATCTGCTGGAATTGATTATTGCCTTCCTGTGGTTCCCACACAGTCCTTTGCCCTGATCATTTTTAAATTTTAAATACTTAAAAAAAATTTTTGTTCCCAGTTACGCAAGTAGTAGCTTCATTTAAGAGGATTTTAAAAGTGCAGAAAAGGTTCAGATCAGAAGCAACAGCACGGGCTTCGCCATGCTCTCTGTGTTCTGCCCTGTCCTTCCTGATGATTAACAGATGCTGTTTGTGTCCTAATGAGCAACATACAGTACATGCCTTTCACACTGTGCCTCTTCTTTTTTCTGATTATACCCTAGTTATTCTATTGAAGACCCCACCCCTGTGGGAGAATGAGTGGTTCAAAGGGCAGTCTTTTACATGGCTCTTAAGGTGAATTGCTAAATTGCTTTCCGAAAAGATTGAACCAGTTTCTCATTTCAGCAGCATTCTGCCCATTTTTCCGTATCTTCACCAGCATTGATATTATGTTAAATGCTTTTTAAACAGAATAAATTATACAAGTTAAAATATGAACTTTGAACAAGAGTTTAAATGTTTAGAAATTAGTAGTAGTAGTATAACATATAGGCAAACTTACCATGTATATTTCTTATTACTGAGAATCCAAACTGAACTAGACCTGAAGGGTTTTCCTTACCACCTGACAGTGTGGCGCCTTCTGAGCAGATCCTTTCTAGGAGCTCTCTCTACTCTGGGCTGGTCCACACCTGCTTGTGTGGAGTGGGCTGGAGATGCCGGTTCAGTTTGTATCCTCTCAGTCTATTTTTTCCCTCCACCTTAGCCCTATGTCTTGAGACGGCTGCATAGGGTGGTTTAGAGGGGAGTAAATGTGGCTTTCCCTTTGGTATGTAAAGCAGATTGGGATCATGTCTGACTGCAGTGTGTGTCTGCGTTTTTTCCTGATTGTATGTGTGAATTTCAGGTGTGCAACAGAGGAACATGGCTCAAGAAACTAATCACAGCCAAGTGCCTATGCTGTGTTCCACTGGCTGCGGATTTTATGGAAACCCTCGCACAAATGGCATGTGTTCAGTATGCTACAAAGAACATCTTCAAAGACAGAACAGTAGTAATGATAGAATAAGCCCACCTGGTAAGTACTTCTGTTAAAACACAGCAGTATTCGTCATTGAGATACACTTGGATAGCACAACGTACCCTTTTCTGCTGTCGCATTGTATGTGGATTACTACAGTCATCTGAGTACAATTTCTCATTACATACCATGATTATCAGTGGTCGGGAAAGAGGAGGAGAGTATCCTTACGCACTAAAAACAGCCACTCTAACTCCAGTCCATAGTCTCACTGCTGTACTCTGGAGCTCTATTCCCTTAGTCAACCAGAGGCATACCTCCAATATACAGAGCCACCTTGGAAAGGGAAGGGAAGGCAGTGAGGGCTGCAAGAGGTCCAAGTAATCTTGGACCACTTCTGAAGTCAGGATAGTTGTCGAAGGAAAGAATGGGGTGTAGGTAACGCAGCAGACTTTAGAGAAAGTCCGACCCCACCAGGAAGGACAAGTGGAGCAGTTGGAATCAGAGTAAGGGGTGTTAAACCCCAGTTCACTTGAGTTCTTTATGCCATTTTCTGTCCAAGGGTTCTGGAATTGAGGCGGGCTTTTGTTTCAGTAGTCGTATTAGAAGGATCATGAGAATTCTGAGTAGAAGCTTCGCAAAAGTTTTAATAGTATTAATATAGGATAATGCTGAAATGTATAGGATTTTGTGGTCGATCACAGTGCAGGCTCTTAGTTCATTTAAAATTTTGTGTGGTGTCTTTCTCGTCATTGCTTCATGTTCGAACCAAAAGCTAGAACTGTTTAATGAAAACTCTAAATTTTCTTAAGGCTGAGGTCAAATCATTATAAATTATTTTTAAAATTAAATCATCATCTGAATTTCTGCCTTATGAAGACGGGAAAATAATATAACCTAATGTGCTGAGTGAGCACAGATTTTAATTCTGAACCTGTTTGCCTCGCTACTAAATTATCTCATTTGTGCACTGAACTTAGAAGATGTTTGGGAGTTAAAGGGTCTGATGATGTTCAGTCCTGAGAAATATTAATAGGAGTTTAGTTTATTAATATATACAATTTGCATATGGTTTCCTTTACGGTTAAATGAACATATATTCACTGGAAAACTATATAGTATTGAAAAATTTTAACTAAAAGTGATGAACCAATATATTATATAGTAAAACAAAATTAATCTACTATATCTTGTGGAAAATTGATCTTGATTTTTTTAGATAAGGTGTTGGACTGGCCAGAGTGCAGAATCACTAATCTGAAATGTGGTCCTGTTACAGCGACTTCTGTCAGTAGTCTGTCTGAGTCTTTACCAGTTCAGTGCACAGAAGGCTGTGCGCCCGAAGCTCAGTCAGCGTTAGACTCTACATCCTCACCTGTGCAGCCAAGGTAAGGCGCGCCCTCGGGGCTGGGCTTGGACAGCGAAGGACCAGAAGAGAGTGTATTCCATTTCGATCAATCAAAACTACGTAAAGTCACAGTATTACTGACTAGTTAGAAAAGGCTTTTGATTGTTTTTGTAGGTTGTCTTTTGAGTCTCAGATTTTTTTCAAACAGCTTTTCCTTCATTCCTCCTCATAATATATCCTGACTCACCCCTGAAGTCCTTTTGAAGCATGTTAAGTTCTTCTGATTATAGTCTTATTCTGCAAGTATTAGTATTTTGTATTAAAAAGAAGCCTTGTCACAGATTCTCTTTGTTTTATACATGATGTGGTACTCACATTTATTTGTATTGAAGTGTTCTTTTTCTTTTTTAACTTTGAAGTCACATCATTCAAAAGCCTGAAAATACAGAAACGTTTGTTTCACTTTTATTCTAGTAGGAAACATATACTAAGTTTCTACCTGGGAGTTTCTTTTTTCAGTTCATGACAAGGAGGTGTTCAGTTCCGTTCTGTGACTCTGTCATAACTTTGTATTAGGCTTCCTGTGCATGTCTTTATCACGCTAGTTTTCATTTAGTGAATTCACGTACAAGCTACACCCTGTTGCTTTATTTCCAAAGCAATAAATTTCTGGTCCAAATTGGTCAAAGTTTCTAAGTTCTTCAGTTGTCTTTAAGTTACATAAAAAATATTTTTGTGTTAATTCTTCTCTTAATAATCTCCTATGTTGAACTCTTTATATCACTTTAGTTGCTGCACAGAGATGATCTTTTAAAATCTAAATATTTTTGCTTTTCTAGCCCTGTATCAAATCAGTCACTTTTATCAGAATCTGTAGCATCTTCCCAAGTGGACAGTACATCTGTGGACAAAGCAATACCTGAAACAGAAGACCTGCAAGGTTTGCATATGAACTATATTTTATCATTTATTTAACTTTTGAATATTATAGGTCAGGCACTATCCTAGGTGCATATATTTTAAAAATGACCTGCCTAAAATACTTTATTTTTATATTTATTTTCTTTATGAGCAGACTATTTTATATCCTCAAATATTTAATTGAAATGTTGGGAGCCATTTCCATTTCCCACTTATGTATAATTATGTCATGAACATAAACATAGAAAATTCAAAATTTATTTCATTTGAGAAATATATTTAAGTGACTGAGTGGTAGTATTATGGTATTTTCTTTTACTATTTTGGCCAGTTTATTCTAAATAATGCCTCTCCACACAGACTGGGGCTTCTGGTTTGGGAGGAGTCTCTTGTTTTTGACTCAGATTGCTTAAGAGACTATTTAACCTGACTGGCAGCACCCCTCTTTCCCCATCTGTGACCTAAAGCACAAGTCACATTCATTTACCTTGTGTTTACAGATGGCGCCTCTGTTCTTGCCCCTGCTCTTTATATCCTCACCACACGGGTCCAAGTGATCTGGGAAGAGCTGAAAATGTGTGCGAAGGCTCTCTTAGTGGGCAGAGGTAGGGCAGAGGAGGCGTTTGTTAAAGAATGCTTAACGAGGGACATTCTCCCAGTGTGTGGAAACAATGTGTTACTTCAAGACTGAGCCTCTGGAAAGGCCAGGCCAAGGAGGAACAGTGTCATCTGTCCGTGCCACGATTTACAGACAGAAGATGCCCTGGCCAGCGAAACCTTCCATTGTACACGGTGTTCATACGGTGATGACAGATACATCTGGCAATCTTAGCAGAAGTTTGCTAAAGTTTAAATTTAGTTAAGCTAGCTAGTTTCCTTGCTCTGATTTCATGTCCAACAAATGATTGGCATAATTTGCCCATTTGCAGATTTTGCAATAACTTGAAAATAATACTCCCTGGCTAACATAAGTATTCTAGTCCACTCAATATATTATGTATTACAAATTCATAAATATTATAAGTGAATAATTTTGTAGATAAATAGAAATAATTAAGGAAGGGCAGAGATAAGGGATAGTTTAAAAAGGAGATACAGAAAAAGCCTCGAGGGCCAGCTGAGTGGCTCATTGGTTGAGTTGGCTTGGGAGCACAAGCTCTGAGCAGCAGGGCCACTGGTTCGGATCCCACATGGGCCAGTCACACTGCGCCCTCTGCAGCTAAGATGGTGAACAATAGCTCAAAATGGAGCTGGGCTGCCGTGAATCGCCAGCAATGGCATAGGCTGTAGTGGGGCTGCAGTGGGCTGCCGTGAGCTACTATGAGCGGCTGGTAGCCGGCATGAGCTGCTGTGAGTGGTCATCCAAGGGCCAGCAACCGATCTGCCTCACCCGGGAAGAGCGCAATGATAATACCAACATGGGCCAGTGAAGCAACGCCCTCCACAACTAGACTGAAGAACAAA